TTTGCATTCCGTCATTGACATCCATCTTGATCCAGTGAACTTCTTCAGCTCATCCAGCCATCGATCCAGAGGTCTTTCTAGGAGCCGGTTTTCCTCTCTTGGAACACAATAATCTCCCTTTACTTCAATAATAAACGTTTCTTCTTGCAACGTGCCCCCCCATAACCACTTCAGTTTCTTCACTCGGGCAATGACATTGCAGAATCTTGTTTGATTTGTATTTATATATTATTTATACCTATCCATTCGTCGTCCTATCATTTTCGATAATTCTCACCAGACGTCTTTTCATGCTGCGTTGCATAATCGCTGAGATTAATTTGATTCTATCAGCGTTTCATTTATTTTTTATAGAAGATGGTGCTAACGTCTAAAACGTAGAACAGATGCACAGTTACAATGAAAAACATTAGCTTCCGACATCCACAAAAGCTTTCGACTAATTCAAATACCATAACTTCGAAGCTTAAGATTATCCTTTGACTTCTCTCTCTATCAAGAGAGCAATGACCTTGCAGCCGAACTAGAAGAAATCCAGTATCCAAGGACCTTCATCCAAAGCTATTGAACAAACTGGATCGGAGTCTAAACAGGGTCGACAACACAGAAGGAACGGCGACCGCCAGAAACGATTTCCAACATCGCCTTCTCCTACTCATCCCGAATTAGAATTGCTTAAGTGAAACAAAATCTAACGCTTTATGAGCAGGAATGAGGTAACTAGGGTATGCCGATCCCAAAACAAGTATGGCAGCCTCTCCTAGGAAAAAAAGCATCATACCGAAGCAAGAAGATAAAGGGATAGTATACAAGATAAACTATTCATGCGGATAGAGTTACATTAGAGAAACCGGTAAAAATTGAGGAACCAGTCAAAGAACACATGTCTATTAAAGCAGAAATGAAGGGTTCTGCCGTTGCATGGCACAGCATACTAAAGAGTTACGTCATAAAATGACACGCAAAGAGCAACGTTTGCACGGATAGCCAACTAACGGTAAAGAAAAATTTGGGAAGCAGTAGCGGTGGAGGCAAAAATCAAAACTGACAGGCAGAAGAAACTTGAAAGCAATCAGTCAAGCATCGCCTCAAATATTACATTAAATTATCAATAAATATATGCTATCAACCCGCGTCTCTCGTCGCATCATCGAACTCTCGCAATCTTGACCAATATAAAAATTACTGAAAAATGTAATAAAACAGAACTCATCATCAGAAAAATGGGAGGATGACCACACCGGTTTTGACCGCCGATACCGAGAGGCGACTCGTTACCTTCAGGCTCAGGACAGCTGCTGATCTTACTCCGCATTCAACACTAGTTATGCCTTTCCTGAATCATAACTAAACTATTTAAACAATTAAATGAGAAAAAATCTATTTGCTTAACTATTCGTAAACTTTAATTCAAAATCAGCGCCTGAATTTTTATTAAAACTTGTTTTAAAGAACACCTGCATTAAAACGCATTATGAGCACCTTAAAAGTAACTACCCAAACGGGTTGCTCAGAAAAATGCAGGCGCTCAAATACCTTGACGCCGTGGGTTGGATAACTTCCCTCTCTCGAGTAACAGTAAGCGCACAATACAGCGCCGTAAAATCCAGACCGGGAAAAGTGAGGCGCTTGCTGGCATAGTCCAGCATAAGGATTCGTAATTTCTGTTATGAAGCAGAATATATGGAAAATTGGTTGCTGTGAATCAAAGCTCATTATGAGCAAGGTATTGCTTTAGTCAAGAAATTGTGCCCGATGCAACTGACAATGCAAATGCTCAAATGCCACTGACTGATGTTTGTATACCTCCTACAGCAACTACGAGCAAGGGGGCGCAGTACGTCGTGAAATCCGATATTAGAGGAATTAGCGCTTATTAAAACAATTATGTTGTATTTTTGTCAAAATCAAATTAAACGCAAACAGCTTAATCCTACTACCGGCAAGAAAATATCCGCGCAGTCGTTTCCATAGCTTGCTGCTCTTTTTGGACTGCGGGAGCAGCGACTTTAGAACATTTTTCAAATGTGCTTAGTCTTCGTCAATCACATACGATCAACGGTTGGACTGCAAGATGCGACAGCGGCGAGAGCTCAACATATTCGCTATCTGAGCAACGGTCATCCCGTCTGGACCCATACCACGTAACACTGCAAAAAGAAACCATAAAGAAAATAAAACGAACATGACTAAGTACAACCTAACGATCCTGTTTGCAAGTATTACCCAAAAATGGCATCCGACATTACTGAGACTGCGCGAACGACAAGCTCCATTTACAAAATCCTCAATATTAAGCACTTCGTTGGTGGCTCGGGTAGTCATTAAATAAATGATTCCTCCAGTATCAGGTTCCGCGGCGTACTGCACCGCCCCTTCCCAAACCTCCTAGTTGCCTGTGGATACAAATAAGTCGGAAAAAATGAAGTGAGATGCACCTGGCGTTGCATAAGCTCATGTACTCTGGGGCCACGGCCTGATTACATGGCTCCCCTGGACAACTAGGAATAAGGGAGGAGGTGTAGCACGCCGCCATAAAACCTGATATGGACGGAATCATTTATTTGACATGCTCAGGCACACAAACAACTTAACATGCTTTTCGCGAAATTTTAGGTAATAGCCATTAAAGGAAAAATTTTCCTATTACTTAACAAAAATACAACGCAACGCAGGTCATATGACAGAATTCCCAGATAACACAACGATATCGACTATGACCAACATTACCAAATTACCATTACGCCCTGAAGATGATGTGAGACGCAAGTTGATATGTCAAAACCAGTTTAACGCTGTAAAACATTCTGCTGCGTAGTTATGAAGTACTTTCATTCAAATAACTTTTACATCACGATACGCATAAAACGTAGTCAGTCAATTATACATATGCATGGAAAAAACAGGTCGGCATGTTGCCAGTGCAATAACAACTTCTTCATTGGTAGTAGAGCTCAAAGTTGAAACCGTCATGGATTTCGTAGTCTTCCAACGAAATGTGGTCCTTGTAAACTGTGTACCATTTTTTCAGTATAATCTTTTCTGACCGAGTGCCGGTCTGCGCTGCGACTAGCTTCTTCAGGTCGCCGATGGTGTCGCTGCCACTAAAAAATAAACAATTCTTTAGCAAAGTCTACGACTGCATGCACGAGACAAGTGTAACAAAAACTGGATATCATTTATTTTCACATCCTGCGAATTAGCTCGAACTGCCCGAGCAGAAGCTTCAAGAAGTTTTATCAACGGGGCCGGTCTTCCGGCAATCGGACAGGGTCCACTAATTAGATCACAAGCAAGAAAATACTTGTCTTCTTTCAGTGGAGGATCCATACAATAAAACAGCGTGAAAATTATCGCCACGCCTGGCTGCGTCTGCACAGACGGATCAGCTCCACAACAGAATAACCATTTTTCGAGACTGAAGACAATAGAACTGCAGCGCAGGATACAGAAGATTTCAACCAAATCCAGATGAAGAAGCTGTGCTCCTTCAAACAGCACCTGTTATCTTTCATCCAAAGAAGAGAAATTCCGCCTACCCAGAGTCATACGCTGCTATCATTAGTGGTTCCATATAAGACCCCCTGAGGTATTTCTCATACCTTGTGCTGCCTGAGTTCTCTCTGGACAGAGAGCAGGTATAACGAGAGATTAATGCAGCCATCTGGCTGACGATCATGCAGAAAGCACATGGGAGAGAATTTCATACATATGGAATGAACTTCTCTGATAAAAATTCGAACGCATCCATTGTTAACATAAAAAAATAACGATTTTGCATGAACGGCTATAAGCGACTTAGCCGCGGTCGTCACAGTTAAGTAGAAAACCCTTTGCACGATCTCAACCTAGCATGTGTGAGCCAAAGAAAAGGAAATCTCGATGCTTTGGACAGCAGTGATTTCAAAGTCACAGTTCTCCTCTACGTGCTCTAACAAGATGGAATTTTGGGAGAGGGAACATCACGTATTTAAACCCAAATGACTAAATTCACATCTACCAAAATCCATAATTGCGAACAGGCATCTTCTGAAATTGATATAAGTTTC